TCAAATTTCACTGGACGTCCCTCAGTATCGAAAGCTAGCACGGGAGGACTAGCCATAGTAGCAGTAGCAGCAGTAGCAGTAGGCGCAGGTAGGGCGGCGCGGCTCGGTTAGGGCGGCGCGGCTCGGTTAGGGCGGCGCGGCTCGGTGCGGGCGGGGCCGTCGCGGTCGCGCGCGGGGCAGGTAGGGGCGGTACGCGGGGTCGACGGGGCCCCTAGCGGGCGGCGCGCGGGGCCGACGGGGCCTCTAAGGGGCTGCGACGGGGTCGACGGGGCCTCTAGGGGCGGCGCGCGGGGCCGACGGGGCCTCTAAGGGGCTGCGACGGGGCCGTAAGGGGCCTCTAGGGGCGAGCGCGGGGCCGTAGGGGGGGCCGATAGGAGGCGAACGCGGGGCCGACGGGGTCGCTAAGGGGCGGCGCGCGGGTCGCTAAGGTCGCAGGGTCTTAGGGGGCCGTGAAGTACGTAGCGCTCTAGGGCGCAGGTAGGTAGGTAGGTAGGTAGGTAGGTAGGTAGGTGGGCCCTAAAAAAAAAACGGTCCTAGCGAAGGACCTGCTCTGAAACCATGTTGAAACTAACTGGCAGGAATGAGAATGACTAGCAAGAATGTGAGTACAAGTATGCAACCCTAGAATTTGTGTACCCCCTAAAGGCTAACCCACTGTAGCCTAAACAACAACAACATATATATGTTTGACACGTCAACCCCCCTATAAGAGCGTCAACTCTCATATAAGAGCGTCAACTCCCCTATAAGAGCGTCAACTTCCCTATAAGAGCGTCAACTCCCCTATAAGAGCGTCAACTCCCCTATAAGAGCGTCAACTCCCCTATAAGAGCGTCAACTCCCCTATAAGAGTGGCAACCCTCATATGAGAGCGTCAACTTCTCTTTAAGTGCGTCAACTCCCCTATAAGAGCGTCAAATCCTCAGTAAGACCGTCAAATCCCCTATAAGAGCGTCATCTCCCCTATAAGAGCGTCAACTCCCCTATAAGAGCGTCAACTCCCCTATAAGAGCGTCAACTCCCCTATAAGAGCGTCAACTCCCCTATGAGAACGTCAACTCCCCTATAAGAGCGTAAACTCTCATAAGAGCGTCAACTCTCCTATAAGAGCGTCAACTCCCCTATAAGAGCGTCAACTCCCCTATAAGAGCGTCAACTCCCCTATAAGAGTGTCAACTCCCCTATAAGAGCGTCAACTCTCAAATGAGAGCGTCAACTCCCCTATAAGAGCGTCAACTCTCCTATAAGAGCGTCAACTCCCCTATAAAAGCGTCAACTCTCCTATAAGAGCGTCAACTCCCCTATAAGAGCGTCAACTCTCCTATAAGAGCGTCAACTCCCTGTCAATAATCCCAGCCACTAACCACTGGGATAAAAGGGCTTGTTTGTGTAGCGGGTGAGTGCGCCCATAACCCCCCCAGGCCGCCATGCCTGTAACCCTTCCCTAGGATCAATCGGGGATCACCAGTGGACCTCTGACACCCCCCCGCACTGGGATGCCCGAGGTGCACACACCGGGATTCGAACCCGAGACCTTCGCTCTGATACCATGTCAAAATCCCAGCCACTAACCACTGGGATAAAAGGGCTTGTTTGTGTAGCGGGTGAGTGCGCCCATAACCCCCCCAGGCCGCCATGCCTGTAACCCTTCCCTAGGATCAATCGGGGATCACCAGTGGACCTCTGACACTCCCCTATAAGAGCGTCAACTTCCCTATAAGAGCGTCAACTCCCCTATAAGAGCGTCAACTCCCCTATAAGAGCGTCAACTCCCCTATAAGAGCGTCAACTCCCCTATAAGAGCGTCAACTCCCCTATAAGAGCGTCAACTCCCCTATAAGAGCGTCAACTCCTCTATAGGAGCGTCAACTCCCCAATAAGAGCGTCAACTCCCCTATATGAGCGTCAACTCCCCTATAAGAGCGTCAACTCTCATATAAGAGCGTCAACTCCCCTATAAGAGCGTCAACTCCCCTATAAGAGCGTCAACTCTCCTATAAGAGCTGTCAAACATTATATATGTTGCGTTTGTTAGGCTACAGTGGGTTAGCCTATATGGGGTACACAATTCTAGGGTTTGCTTTTTGTACTGATTTCTCTGTTAGTTCAATCATTCCAGTCCGTTCATTCTGACATGGTTTCAGAGCAGGTCCTTCACTAGGACCTAACTTCTCTTCGGGCCCACCACTACCTACTACCTACTACCTACTAGCGCCCTCGTGCGCCCTACTATCGGAGTGCGCTTTAGCGCCTCCCCCCTTAGCGCCCTCGAGCGCTTCCTTTTTTTTTTTTTTTTTCCCGGCCCCGCTGGCCCCGTCGATCGCGCCCCGCTTAGAGGCCCCGCGGCCCCGTCGCGCTTTGCCTAACGGCCTCGCGGCCCCGTCGCGCCTCGCCTAGTGGCCCCGCGGCCCCGTCGAACCCACGCGCGCCCCGCTTACGGCCCCGTCGACCCCGCGCGCACCCCGTGTAGAGGCCCCGCGGCCCCGTCGTCCGCCACCACACGGCCCGTCGAACCCGCGCGCGCCCCGCTTACGGCCCCGTCGACCCCGCGCGCACCCCGTGTAGAGGCCCCGCGGCCCCGTCGCCCGCCACCACACGGCCCCTCGACCCCGCTGCGCCCCGCTTAGCGGCCCCACGGCCCCGTCGAGCCCCGCTTAGAGGCCCCGCGGCCCCGTCGCCCGCCACCACACGGCCCCTCGACCCCGCTGTCGTCCGCTGCTGCCGCTGCTGCTTGTGCACGGCCTACTGCCGCTGCTGCCGCCGCTGCAACTCCCGCCCGTGCGCTAGCTACCGCTACTCCCGCCGCGCTCACTGCCGCCCGTGCGCCACTGCTGCTGCCGCCCGTACGCTACCACTCGTTTGCCGCTGCTGCCGGCCCCGTTGACACTGCCCACAGTCTCCCAGCGGCCTCGTTCCTACTGTTTACCTTATACCTACTACTACCGCTCGTGTGCCACTACGGACAGTCGACCCGCCCGCGCCTTGCCTAGCGGCCCCGCCGGCCCCGTTGACCCTCCGCACACCTTTCCAGCGGCCTGATTCCTACTGCTACTGTCACTATGGCTAGTCCGCCAGTTCTAGCTTTCGATGCCGAGGGCCGTCCAGTGAAGTTCGACACCTGGCTCGATGACCTGCACCTGTTCCTACAGCTCACAGCCAAGGAAGATATCTCACTGTACGACCACGCCCTAGGCCATGCCACTGCCCCTGACTCGACTGCTGACAGCACTCTGCGTTCCCAGTGGCAGACCCGTGATGCGCACACTCGCTTTGCTATTCGCAACTCCCTGCCGCTAGACGAGCGCGAGCACTTCGGGCAGTGCAAGACTGCTAAGGACCTCTACACCGCTGTAGTTGCCCGCTACTCCTCACCCGCTTCTGCCACGTTAGGCCGCCTCACTCTCCCCTACCTGTTCCCCGACCTAGCCTCCTTTCACACTGTCGCAGACCTCATCACCCACCTTAAGACTAGTGAGGCCCGCTTTCGCGCTGCTATGCCTGCCGAGTTTCTCACTAGCAACCCCCCCCCGCTCTGGATCACTCTCTACCACATCGTCACCCGCCTCCCTGACTCTCTGCGCGCAGTCAGGGACCACTTCCTCTCTCGCTCCCCCACTGAGCTCACTGTTGCCCTCCTCGAGAAGGAACTGCTTGCAGCCGAGGCGAGCATAGTCGCTGTAGGCACCTCTCGTGGCGACCCCCGCACCCCGTTCTTTGAGGGGTGTTCCCCTTCCCCCCTCCTCCCCTCTGTCGCCTCTGCTGCTGCTGTCGACCTTCTTGGTGCTGAGAAGGTCGGGACCGCGTCTGCTTCGAGCGGGCGCCGCAGGAACAAGGGCGGCCGGGGTGAGGGTGTCGGCGGAGGAGGTGGGGGTGGAGGCGGTGGGAGTGGAGGCGCGGCTGGGGAGACTAGTGGCGGCAGTGGGGGAGGAGACAGCAGCGGTGGGAGTGGTGGTGGAGGCGGCAGCGGAGGCGGAGGTGGTCGTGGCGGCGGCAGGGGTGGAGGTGGCCGGGGCGGCGGCGGTGGGGGTGGTGGTCGTGGAGGCGCTGGCGGAGGGCAGAGTCAGCAGCCCGCCCCAACGCTTCAGGCCGCCCGTGAGTGGTATGCGCAGCGTAGCGTTACCTGCACGTACGTCATTCGCACAGGTGACCGCAGCGGCCAGCAGTGTGGGAGGCCGCACCCCACGCAGCGCTGCTTCGCGCGCCTTAACGACGCGTGGCGCACTCAGTTTCCTGCTGCCACTGAGCTGCCGCGCTGGGCTGATCTGGAAAAGAGGGGTGTTGATATTTGGGCTTTAGACTTTGATGCTATTCTCACTGCCATGTATGCGATGTCTATTAGTGGAGAGGGTGCTCAGTACTTGCGTGTTCCGCCCGACCCGGGCATTCTGGCCAGTCCGGCTGCCGCTCTAGGTGCTAGTGCGTCTGCTCCCACAGGTCCTGGTGAGGCCGCTGCTCTAGGTGCTCGTGCGTCCGTGCCCCCTGGTACTGAGTCGACTGCAGCACTGCACACCTTCACACTGGACTCAGGTGCTTCTCGCTCCTTCTTTCGTGACCGCACTGTCCTTGAGCCACTCGCTCGGCCAGTTGCTGTCTCCCTTGCTGACCCCTCTGGGGGTCCGGTCATTGCGACCTCCTCCACTGTCCTTCCTTGTCCGGCGGTCCCGTCCGGCACGCTGTCAGGTCTCTACCTCCCCTCGTTCTCTACGAACTTGGTGGCAGGTAGTGCGCTCCAGGACGGGGGTGTTCACCAGTTCACCCCTGCCTACGAGCGCGTGACACATTGCACGTGTGCTCGGACGGGTCGCCACCTGGCTACCTTCACTCGGGAGCCGGGGTCGGACCTTTACACACTGACCACTGTGTCCCCTCAGGTAGCTGCGTCTGCGTCTGCGTCTGCGTCAGGTCAGCTGTCCGCCCCCTGCTCGTGTCGCTCTCTGGCGCATGAGACGGTCCTTTGGCACCACTGCCTTGGTCACCCGTCTGTGCAGCGCCTTCGGGCCATGCACAAGCGGGACCTTGTTGCTGGTCTTCCCCGGGTGCTCCCTCCCCTTCCCGTCTCGCCTGCTCCTCCCTGTATTCCCTGTGTCGAGGGACGGCAGCGCGCCGCTCCTCACTCCTCCTCCTTTCCCCCGACGACTGCTCCCTTGCAGACGCTCCACATGGACGTGTGGGGCCCAGCCCGCGTCCGTGGTCAGGGTCAGGAGAGGTACTTCCTGATTGTTGTTGACGACTTCTCGCGCTACACCACGGTCTTCCCCTTGCGCGCCAAGGGTGACGTCCCTGATGTCTTGATCCCTTGGATCCGCAGATCTCGTCTCCAGCTCCGTGAGCGTTTCCGCTCCGACTTCCCTGTCCTCCGTCTGCACTCTGACAGAGGTGGGGAGTTCTCCTCTGGCCTATTGGAGGCCTTCTGTCAGCAGGAGGGCATTGAGCAGTCGTACACGCTTCCGGACTCTCCACAGCAGAATGGGGTTGCTGAGCGCCGCATTGGTCTGGTCATGGAGGTCGCCCGTACCTCCTTGAGCCATGCGGCTGCCCCCCCATTTTCTGTGGCCGTTTGCAGTCTGATACGCTGCGCATCAGCTCAACCTCTGGCCCCGTGTCTCCTTGCCCGAGACTTCTCCGACACTGCGTTGGACGGGAGAGGCTGGTGATGCGTCGCGTTTTCGGGTCTGGGGATCCCGAGCTTTTGTCCGCGACACGTCCGCGGACAAGCTCTCCCGTCGCACTGTCCCCTGCGTCTTCCTTGGCTTTGTCCCGGACGCCCCTGGTTGGCAGTTCTACCACCCCACCTCGCGTCGTGTCCTGGCCTCTCAGGACGTCACTTTTGACGAGTCCGTCCCCTACTACCGCCTCTTCCCCTACCGCACTGCCCCGCTCCCCCCCCCCGCCTCTCTTCCTCGCTCCAGGTGCTGAGGTACCAGACCCCCTCCCCCCTCAGGGTGCCGCTCCCTCAGGTGTGTCCCAGGTAGACCCGGGTGAGCCTGTCGAGGTAGCTGTTGACTCTCGTCCTGCTCGGGGTGCTGAGCCTGGGAGTGCTGAGTCTGGGGGTGCGGAGCCTGGGGGTGCTGAGCCAGGAGGTGCGGAGCCTGGAGGTACGGAGCCTGGAGGTGCTGAGCCTGGGGGTGCTGAGTCTGGGGGTGCTGAGCCTAGGGGTGCTGAGCCTGAGCGTGCTACACCTGGAGGAGCCCTCTCCTCCCAGCAGCTGCAGGAGAGGTACCTCGAGTACTGCCGCCTCCGGAGAGGTGCTACTGGAGCTCGTCCCGGTACTTCCCCTCCTACCCAGGAGCTCCCCCCCATTCAGCAGATCCGCGAGTGGTACACACGGCGCTGCAGTCTTCGGAGTGGTGCTCCTGGTGCTGCGGACCCTGGGGGTGGCGCTGCTGCTGGTACTGAGGACCCGGACGTTGGAGCTGCTGTTGGTGCTGCGGACCCGCCTGGTGGAGCTGCTGCTGGTGCTGAGGACTCGGACGTTGGAGCTGCTGCTGGAGCTGAGGACCCGGGCGGTGGCGCTGCTGCTGGTGCTGAGGACCCGGACGGTGGAGCTGCTGCTGGTGCTGAGGACTCGGACGGTGGAGCTGCTGCTGGAGCTGAGGACCCGAGCGGTGGCGCTGCTGCTGCTGCTGAGGACCCGGGCGTTGGAGCTACTACTTGTGCTGAGGACCCGGCCGGTGGAGCTGCTGCTGGTGCTGTGGACCCGGCCGCTGGAGTCTCCTCTGCTTCTGGAGACGCTGCGCGGCCACGACCGTACTTCGTACCGCTCCTTCAGCAGGTTCTTGGGCAGGCTCCTCCTCCTTGTCCTCCTCCCTCCGTAGAGTGTCCTCTGCCTGTCCAGTCGCAGTCACAGTTACCGCCTACCTCGCCTCTCCCTGCTCCCTCTCCTTACACTGGTCCCACAGGAGGTCTTACAGAGCGTCGTGGGCCTGAGTCTCGTCCTGCGTCGCCTGTTCGTCCTGCTCGCACTGGTAGTCGTGTCCGTCGTGAGCGTCCTCCTCCTGTCCCAGGCACTCACTACATGACTCTGCGTCCCTCTACTGCTCCTCAGCGTGTCCCTCTACCGTCTCCTCCCGCGTCTTCTTTGCCTCACGTTCCGGACCCTGAGTCTGACCGGTACCGTGCTGAGCACCCTACTGTCACGCGTCTCCTCGCTACTGTTGTCACTGACCCTACCTTTGAGTCCTCGACTGCGTCTGCTCTGGTCGCTGAGTTGGTTGACTTTGCTGCTGCCTGTCGTCTAGACTACGCTGCTAGCCTTGTTGCTGAGTCTGAGTCTGTCTGTCCTCCGTCCGTCGGGGGTGCGTGTGCTCTTGGCACGGACGTCCTTGAGGACAGACAGGAGGAGTTCCAGTGTCTTGCTGCTGCTTTGCCCCGTCTCGTGTCCTTGCTAGTTGCCCCTGAGGGAGACCCGGATGCACCAGACATCCCGACCCCACGCACTTACGCTGAGGCGATGGCGGGTCCCTACTCCTCTCAGTGGCAGACAGCCATGGACGCCGAGATGGCTTCCTGGAAGTCCACACGCACCTACGTCGACGAGGTTCCCCCTCCTGGGGCGAACATCGTCAGTGGCATGTGGATTTTCAGGGTGAAGCGGCCGCCGGGTTCTCCGCCTGTCTTCAAGGCGCGTTACGTGGCTCGAGGCTTCAGTCAGCGAGAGGGAGTTGACTTCTTCCAAACCTTCTCCCCCACCCCGAAGATGACTACTCTTCGGGTGCTGCTGCACATAGCCGCTCACCGCGACTACGAGCTTCACTCACTTGACTTCAGCACTGCTTTCTTGCAGGGCAGCCTGCACGAGGAGATCTGGCTGCGCCGCCCACCTGGCTTCACTGGGTCGTTTCCTCCTGGTACCCAGTGGAGGCTTCAGCGGCCGGTCTACGGTCTCCGCCAGGCTCCGCGTGAGTGGCACGACACACTGAGGACTACACTTGCGGCTCTTGGGTTCGCGCCTTCTACAGCTGACCCGTCGCTGTTCCTGCGCACCGACACTTCGCTGCCGCCGTTCTACATCCTCGTGTACGTCGACGACTTGGTCTTTGCCACTGCTGACACTGCAGGACTCGCCTACGTGAAGTCGGAGCTGCAGAGGAGACACACGTGCATAGACCTGGGTGAGCTGACAAGCTATCTTGGCTTGCGGATCACCCGGGACAGAGCACGGCGCACCATCACCCTGACTCAGTCACACATGGTGCAGCAGGTTCTCCAGCGCTTTGGCTTCACGTACTCCTCGCCTCAGTCCACTCCTCTGCCTACCGGTCACTCGCTCTCAGCTCTGCCTTCGGATGAGTCCGTAGAGCCGAGTGGCCCGTATCCAGAGCTTGTGGGCTGCCTCATGTACCTGATGACCTGCACTTGACCTGACCTTGCATACCCTCTTAGCATCCTTGCACGCTACGTCGCTCCTGGCCGTCACAGGAAGGAGCACATGGATGCCGCTAAGAGGGTGTTGCGCTACTTGTGCAGTACTTCGGGCATGGGGCTTGTGCTTGGAGGGCGAGACCGAGTTGTGCTCACAGGGCACTCAGACGCTTCTTGGGCAGACGACCAGGCCACTCAGCGGTCGTCTCAGGGTTACACCTTCAGCCTTGGCTCTGGCTCAGTTTCTTGGCGCTCTACACGCTCTTCTTCTGTTCTCGGCTCCAGTTGCGAGGCTGAGATCTACGCTACAGCCATGGCTGCCCAGGAGCTACGCTGGCTGACCTACCTGCTGACTGACCTCGGAGAGCCGCCTCGTTCTCCTCCAGTACTGTACGTCGACAACAAGGCTGCTATTGCCTTGTGTGAGGAGCACAGACTGGAGCACAGAACGAAGCACATCGCCCTGCGGTACTTCCTTGCTCGAGAGCTGCAGCAGCGCGGTCAGCTTTGTATTCGCTACGTGGCCACTGAGGCCAACACTGCTGATGTGTTCACCAAGGCGCTTCAGCCTCGTGACCATCAGCGCTTCTGCACTCTACTAGGCCTTGTGCCTACTGGACCTCACTTGCTTACCTCTTGACTTTGCTTGTACTATGATCACTATATATATCTATACCTGCATGTTTACTCTTGCTAGGTTGTGATCACTGTATCTCATGCTCTGTTATAAACCTGCATGTGAATTGGTCTTGTGACCACTAGCTTGTGCTCAGAATTTGTGTGGTATCCTTGAGATCCACCCTGAGCTTGTTGTTGCCTTGCTTTGCCTTGACTGGTCTTGTGACCCCTAGGTCTCCCCCACTTTGCCTATGTGGGTGTGTCAAACATTATATATGTTGCGTTTGTTAGGCTACAGTGGGTTAGCCTATATGGGGTACACAATTCTAGGGTTTGCTTTTTGTACTGATTTCTCTGTTAGTTCAATCATTCCAGTCCGTTCATTCTGACAAGAGCGTCAACTCCCCTATAAGAGCGTCAACTCCCCTATAAGAGTGTCAACTCTCATATGAGAGCGTCAACATCTCTTAAGTGCGTAAACTCCCCTATAAGAGCGTCAAATCCCCTATAAGAGCGTCAACTCCCCTATAAGAGCGTCAACTCTCCTATAAGAGCGTCAACTCCCCTATAAGAGCGTCAACTCCCCTATAAGAGCGTCAACTCCCCTATAAGAGCGTCAACTCCCCTATAAAAGCGTCAACTCTCATATAAGAGCGTCAACTTCTCTTTAAGTGCGTCAACTCCCCTATAAGAGCAACAAATCCTCAGTACGACTGTCAAATCCCCTATAAGAGTGTCAACTCCCCTATAAGAGCGTCAACTCCCCTATCTGAGCGTCAACTCCCCTTTAAGAGCGTCAACTCCCCAATAAGAGCGTCAACTCTCATAAGAGCGTTAACTCTCCTATAAGAGCGTCAACTCCCCCATAAAAGCGTCAACTCCCCTATAAGAGCGTCAACTTCCCTATAAGAGCGTCAACTCCCCTATAAGAGCGTCAACTCCCCTATAAGAGCGTCAACTCCCCTATAAAAGCGTCAACTCTCATATAAGAGCGTCAACTCTCATATATGAGCGTTAACTCCCCTATAAGAGCGTCAACTCTCATATAAGAGCGTCAACTCCCCTATAAGAGCGTCAAGCCGCTCTCCAATAAGAGCGTCAACTCCCCTATAAGAGCGTCAACTCTCCAATCAGAGCGTCAACTCCCCTATAAGATCGTCAACTCCCCTATAAGAGCGTCAACTCCCCTATAAGAGCGTCAACTCCCCTATAAGAGCCTCAACACCCCTATAAGAGCGTCAACTCCCCTATAAGTGCGTCAGCTCCCCTATAAGAGCGTCAACTCCCCTATAAGAGTGTCAACCCTCATATGAGAGCGTCAACTTCTCTTTAAGTGCGTCATCTCCCCTATAAGAGCGTCAAATCCTCAGTAAGACCGTCAAATCCCCTATAAGAGCGTCAACTCCCCTATGAGAACGTCAACTCCCCTATAAGAGCGTCAACTCTCCTATAAGAGCGTCAACTCTCCTATAAGAGCGTCAACTCCCCTATAAGAGCGTCAACTCCCCTATAAGAGCGTCAACTCCCCTATAAGAGCGTCAACTCCCCTATAAGAGCGTCAACTCTCCTATAAGAGCGTCAACTCTCATATAAGAGCGTCAACTCCCCTATAAGAGCGTCAACTCTCCTATAAGAGCGTCAACTCCCCTATAAGAGCGTCAACTCTCCTATAAGAGCGTCAACTCCCCTATGAGAACGTCAACTCCCCTATAAGAGCGTCAACTCTCATATAAGAGCGTCAACTCTCCTATAAGAGCGTCAACTCCCCTATAAGAGCGTCAACTCCCCTATAAGAGCGTCAACTCTCATATAAGAGCGTCAACTCTCCTATAAGAGCGTCAACTCCCCTATAAGAGCGTCAAAAAACTCCCCTTTAAGAGCGTCAACTACACAATAAGAGCGTCAACTCCCCTATAAGAGCGTCAACTCCCCTATAAGAGCGTCAACTCCCCTATAAGAGCGTCAACTCCCCTATAAGAGCGTCAACTCTCCTATAAGAGCGTCAACTCCCCTATAAGAGCGTCAACTCCCCTATAAGAGCGTCAACTCTCCTATAAGAGCGTCAACTCTCCTATAAGAGCGTCAACTCCCCTATAAGAGCGTCAACTCCCCTATAAGAGTGTCAACTCTCATATGAGAGTGTCAACTTTCCTATAAGAGCGTCAACTCTCATATAAGAGCGTCAACTCTCCTATAAGAGCGTCAACTCCCCTATAAGAGCGTCAACTCCCCTATAAGAGCGTCAACTCCCCTATAAGAGCGTCAACTCCCCTATAAGAGCGTCAACTCCCATATCAGAGCGTCAACTCTCATAAAAGAGCGTCAACTCCCCTATAAGAGCGTCAACTCTCCTATAAGAGCGTCAACTCCCCCCTAAGAGCGTCAACTCTCCTATAAGAGCGTCAACTCCCCTATAAGAGCGTCAACTCCCCTATAAGAGCGTCAACTCTCCTATAAGAGCGTCAACTCTCCTATAAGAGCGTCAACTTCCCTATAAGAGCGTCAACTCTCATATAAGAGCGTCAACTCCCCTATAAGAGCGTCAACTCCCCTATAAGAGCGTCAAATCCTGAGTACGACAGTCAACTCCCCTATAGGAGTGTCAACTCCCCTATAAGAGCGTCAACTCCCCTATAAGAGCGTCAACTCTAATATAAGAGTGTCAACTGTCCTATAAGAGCGTCAACTCTCCTATAAGAGCGTCAATCCCCCTACAAGAGCGTGAACTCCCCTATAATAGCGTCAACTCTAATATAGGAGTGTCAACTCCCCTATAAGAGCGTCAACTCCCCTATAAGAGCGTCAACTCCCCTATAAGAGCGTCAACTCCCCTATAAGAGCGTCAACTCTCATATAAGAGCGTCAACTCCCGTATATGAGCGTCAACTCCCCTATATGAGCGTCAACTCTCATATAAGAGCGTCAACTCCCCTATAAGAGCGTCAACTCCCCTATAAGAGCATCAACTCCCCTATAAGAGCGTCAACTACGATAAAAGAGCGTCAACTCCCCTATAAGAGCGTCAACTCCCCTATAAGAGCGTCAACTCCCCTATAAGAGCGTCAACTCTCCTATAAGAGCGTCAACTCTCCTATAAGAGCGTCAACTCTCCTATAAGAGCGTCAACTCTCCTATAAGAGCGTCAACTCCCCTATAAGAGTGTCAACTCCCCTATAAGAGCGTCAACTTCCCTATAAGAGCGTCAACTCTCATATAAGAGCGTCAACTCTCCTATAAGAGCGTCAACTCCCCTATAAGAGCGTCAACTCCCCTATAAGAGCGTCAACTCCCCTATAAGAGCGTCAACTCCCCTATAAAAGCGTCAACTCCCCTATAAGAGCGTAAACTACCCAATAAGTGCGTCAACTCCCCTATAAGAGCGTCAACTCTCATATGAGACTGTCAAATTCTCTTTAAGTGCGTCAACTCCCCTATAAGAGCGTCGAATCCTCTATAGGAGCGTCATCTTCCCTATAAGAGCGTCAACTCTCCTATAAGAGCGTCATTTCCCCTATAAGATTGTCAACTCCCCTATAAGAGCGTCAACTCCCCTATAAGAGCGTCAACTCCCCTATAAGAGCGTCAACTCTCATATAAGAGCGTCAACTCCCCTATAAGAGCGTCAACTCCCCTATAAGAGCGTCAACTCCCCTATAAGAGCGTCAACTCTCCTATAAGAGTGTAAACTCCCATATCTTAGCGTTAACTCCCCTATAAGAGCGTCAACTCTCATATAAGAGCGTCAACTCCCCTACAATAGCGTCAACTCCCCTATAAGAAGGTCAACTCCCCTATAAGAGCGTCAACTCGGATGTTTGTAGCCCCGAGAAGCGAAAACAGCCGCACTTGTGCAGATCATGGAGCAGGCAATTTTCCGTCGTTGAGGTCCCTGACCAATCGCTCTCGCTTCACTCCCATGCACTTTCCAGCATAATTGCGGGTCCACAAAGTCACAAATGACGTCTTTACATTGAAGAAAAAACCTCGTTTCGGACGTTTGTAGCCCCGAGAAGCGAAAACAGCTGCACCTGTGTAGATCATGGAGCAGGCAATTTTCCGTCGTTGAGGTCCCTGACCAATCGATCTCGCTTCACTCCCAAGCACATTCCAACATAATTACGGGTCCGCGAACTCACAAATGGCGTCTTTACATTGAAGGAAAAACCTTGTTTCGGACGTTTGTAGCCCCGAGAAGCAAAAACAGCCGCACATGTGCAGATCATGGAGCAGGCAATTTTTTGTCGTGGAGGTCCCGGACCAATCGCTCTCGCTTCACTCCCAGGCACTTTTCAGCATAATTGCGGGTCTGCGAACTCACAAATGACGTCTTTACATTGAACATAAAATATCGTTTCGGACGTTTGTAGCCCCGAGAAGCGAAAACAGCTGCACCTGTGTAGATCATGGAGCAGGCAATTTTCCGTCGTGGAGGTCCCTGACCAATCGCTCTCGCTTCACTCCTAGGCACTTTCCAGCATAATTGCGGGTCCGTGAACTCACAAATGACGTCTTTACATTGAAGAAAAAACCTCGTTTCGGACGTTTGTAGCCCCGAGAAGCGAAAACAACCGCACCTGCGCAGATCATGGAGCAGGCAATTTTCCGTCGTGGAGGTCCCTGACCAATCGCTCTTGCTTAAATCCCAGGCATTTTTTCATCATAATTATTGGTCTGCAAACTCACAAATGACGTCTTTACATTGAAGAAACGTTTGTAGCCCCAAGAAGTGAAAACACCAGCACCTGTGCAGATCATGGAGCAGACAATTTTCCGTCGTGGAGGTCCATGACAATCGCTCTCGCTTCACTCCCAGGCACTTTCAAGCATAATTGCGGGTCCGCGAACTCACAAATGACATCTTTACATTGAAGAAAAAACCTCGTTTCGGACGTTTGTAGCCCCGAGAAGCGAAAACAGCTGTTGAAAAGCCTAGCTAGAACTTAGTAGCCATGGCTAGGGTTTAGGGTGCTTGCAAGAGTGTCGAGAAGTTTGAGCAAGAAGGAAGTGTTTCACTAATGAGCA